TTACAACAACAAAAAAAATTCAACGATACAATCGCAAATACAACTCTCCAACCACACTGAGATACGAAACCACCAGCACACCGGTAACAAATAGAGGACGTTAGGCCACGCTTTAAGCATCTACCATGAGCCGTGGAGCGATCGACATGGACATCAGCTCTTGGAAGAGTAACTTGCAGGCATACGGTATACGAACAGCAGACACCTGCGTTTTGTTGCGACAAGCCTAAAACGATTCATCATTAGGAACAATATCGTTGCAAATGAAGATATATCACCTTGCACTCGAAACTGTTCGTTCGGAGGTTCGCAACGACTATAAGGCCGCAATTGTTGCATATGTACACATGGTACGGGTCAGAAACCTCGAACAGGCGTTCACGAAGGAATTGCGCTGCTCCGTGGGAGATTTGACAATCGCGCTCCATTTCACCGAAACGCAAACCACCATCCCTGAAGAGATAAGTCATTAACCACATATTGTAATGGGTTATTAAGGAGTGTATCTAACCTTGCTCGACCTTCCATAGGCTGTCTATTCATCATTTGAATTGGTCCTCTTGCACGTGAGTGAATTTTGTCATCTACCATGTGCTTCAAGCGCTGATAGTACGTTGGTCCAAAGAATATCTGACGAAATCAATCAATATTGGAGATGTTCACTTATAAGATCAAAACATAACAGACAGCACAAACCTGTGTAGTAAGTTTCGTTCCTGTATGTCCATTATACATTACTTCATTTCCTCTCAAATGATACCCATATTCTTGCAATAAATTACTGATTTTCTGGACGTTCACAGTATCATTGAACGGAGTCGCGTCACCAATTTCGCCCTTATTAGCCGACAGCTAAACGAATGGGCTTCAACGTTAGGAGGAAACGTGTCTCACTATGTCATAAAACTACGAACCTTGCCCTGCAAGCACTCGATTAAATGGCCGATCGTCATACGAGATGGTACAGCGTGTGGATTAATGATGATATCTGGCGTTAGTCCCTCACAGGTAAATGGCATATCTTCCTGCAAAATGAAAATAAAGTCTGGCCAGGTTGAAAATAGTCGGTAAAAGGGACGTTGAAAAATGACAAACGATCGAGCTCCGAGTCTGTGAAAGTCAGTATTAAACCCGAATAACTGAGATTATATATCCGAGTTTAGAAGGCCATACTGCCTTCGGAAACAATTTTTAGCAATCTTACGTCTAGAGACCGGTATCTGAGGCGCAAGCAACAAAGGTTTTCATTAAAAACGGATGAAATAGTTAAGTTTAAAGTTATGTTTTTTTTTCAAATCCTCGCGGTGATCTAGCTGGTTCTATCCGAGAGAGAAATGCAAAAGAATCTAGCGTGTTACAAAAATGGGCATTCGAGGATAACTGAAATTTCTATCCAGGTCCATTACAGAGAGCGAATCCAACGTAAACTTCATTATGCACTTTGAATGTCTTGCTAATTTGAGCAGAGTCCGCAGAATTGCCCCATACAGAACACCATGCCGAACTGAGATGTACGTGCATAAGGCAAAGGGAGAGCGCGATCGCATCTCATTCTCGCCCTTCGAAGTGGAATGAGGTGATAGCGGAACAAACGCTTCACCCGGTAGCAAGTAGAAATGAATTTGGTTGTAGCGGTAGCCAGAGGTAGCAGCGGGCAGCACGGCAGTTCCTTCACGAGTTGGCGGCGCTTCTCGCGTACTTTTCAGACTTAGTACATGTTCTTTGAAGAAAGGACTACCGTATTCCACAGAAAGCGAGGAAACATCAAATGTGGGCAGGATCTGCGTTTCAGACCCTCCAGCTAAAAGAAATCGGTGAGCAGAGAAAGTATGGACCCGGCTACCACCAGTTTTAGGGTTTGTTAATAGATCGCAGGAATGGAAAAGGAATCATAAGCTGATGATGGAATATCGAAATAGAATATATAAATCCCACCTACGAAATAATATAAAGTGCTAGAATTGATATCCTACCTGTCTGTACATGATACCCATGGTACCCTTTTGGCCATGCCGTGATGCAAATTTGTCGCCGATTTGTGGCAATCTCACAGAGCGCACACGAATTTTTACGAATTTGTTCGCTATCAGATGTCAACGAAACATAACCTTAACGGCGTTATTTCAAACATGACTATTTTGGTACGTCATTCATTCAGCACTATACCTGGTCAATAATGCCCGTTTCGGAACTGCGCAGGAATGTTGAAGCATCGCGTTTCGTGTACTTCTTACTGCTTGCATCCAAATCGTCATCCTGAATGTTTCCAAAATCACTAAGACCAACTCTTCAATGTACAAACTTACTAAACTACTAGTCGCTATAACTGATCGAACTAACTGGGTATAATATTGACAAACTTACAACTTCGGGAAGAGCCACAGTTTTGCCGATAATGACATCGTCGCCAGAAACTCGCATTCCAGGCGAGATAATTCCGTCTTCATCAAGCTAGAAAAAGAATGAATCACTGATTTTTAAGGTGACGAATAAAAGACAAAATACCTTGTCATAGAGAGAATGTCGCATTCCGGAACATTTGTCACGAGTCGGTTTCTCAATGAGTTCTTCATTGGCTCCATCCAGGTTTGCTTCTTGATCTCGATAAGAACGGTAGAACACCTGCAGTAAATAAGAAGGTTATAAAGGAAATCTTAGGGCAACGCACTACAGCCACTAACCGATCTGAATAGACCTCTGTCTATTGCGGACTGATTCATAATCACAGAATCTTCTTGGTTGTAACCAGAGTAAGAAAGAATGGCAACAATGGCATTAATTCCAGCCGGAAGTTCATTGAACCTGAGAAAAGCATTTTCAATGTTATTTGAACCCCACCCCCCCTCCCCCCGAAATGAAAACGTTGTTTCACCACCTTACCTCAAATATTCCATGGATCTTGTAGTAACAAGAGGTTTTTGCGGATAGTAGAGCACATGTGCAAGCGTGTCCATTCGAACATGGAAATTCGTAGTATATACACCCATAGCTTGTTTACCCATAGCACTCTAGAATCAAGTAAAAGAAGCTGTGTCCACAAATGAATCGCATATGTGATCTGCACTTACTTGGTAAGTGTTCCTTGGACTTTGGTTATGATCAGGGAATGGAATAATCGATGCGCATACACCGAGAATCATTGCAGGATGGATCTCACAGTGGGTGTAGGTATCGCAGTAACCACCTGCTTTCAGATCTTCAGGCATCATCGCAAGCATGACGGTCTCTTCAAAATATGTATACGTCTCTTGTAAAGCGCTAGCTGTTAGCATTGTATCTAATACATATATATTTTCCGGGGTAAAAGCCACCTGCTCACAGTAGCATGATTCTTCCCTTTGCCGTACTCTATCCGTAATTGATTTTCAAATACTTACCATTAAAAATTATTCAACTATTCCGTCGGAACTAATCAACGACATCAGAATGAAAACACCCTTTTTTGTACTGAAGTTCGCGACCTTTAAAGGTATTAGGCATCGCTGGGGCGGGTGGTTGTCGCCAACTTCATTAGTGCGAAGACTGCGGAGGGCGTTTGGCCACACCCCACACCACCCTTCCACCAATGACGTTGGCAGCAACAGCCCGCCACCAGCAATCGTGTCCAGGCAAAGGTATGGCTCATGCACAAGTGGCTTGTATTCCAGAAAACATGGCATTACTGATGCATAGGTGAATACCTACCTTCTTCCATGGCATCGATCAGTTCAACAACTCCACCACCGACGAGATCAGACCAACTGTAATTACTACCGGATTCCCTTTCCTACAAATATATTGGAAATTTTATCCCGAAATAAAACGGAACTTTTAGACAGAATATCTAATGATGGACTCTCCTTTACCTTCAGTTTGTCGATATGACGCTTCTTTAAGGCTAGTTTTTGTTTCTCGACGATAAGAAGAGGCCGACAAACTCGTCCTGCGTCCGTATAAATACGTATTTCTCGATCTCGTATGTCACGAACCATCGATACCTAAAGTGAAAGCAGCTAATCAGCAACAATTCTACAATACAATGGTAAAGGGTATCTACCTCCGACACGATGATGTCCATTTGTCTTCGGAGCTTCTTCAATGTGGTCATGAGATGTTCCGGATCGCGATGAATTCCTACCCAGGCACCGTTCACAAAGATTTTTGTCGCATCAGCGATGGAAGAAGGTGCTACTTCTGAATGATAAAAACGTAGCTACAACTACGTGTTGCAGAACTATAAAGTAAGAAGCATCTGTTAAAAACAATTGAATGCTGGTGGATACAGAACGTGTACGAATTGCTTCATTGTCAGAATCAAAAACTGGCGCTATTAGGCTTAGGAGGGGCATTTTGCACTTTTCCGAACTGTTTTTTTCTAGTTAACGTTGAGTAACATGTCTTATTTTCGTAGACCTGTGAACTCATGTAAAGCTGTGAAATGGTACAAGGGAATCACTTTGGTTACAAGAATATAACTCTTCAGAAGATTTCGCTTCACTTCGCTGAGTCATTTGTTACCCCAAGCCTAAGTGAGACCAAAAATTATAAAACTAAGGGGTTTTGTTCCGCTTCTGATGCCTGACTTATTTTCTGAAAACAAAAAAACCTTCGAGATTCTCCATCGACCACTCTTCCAAGAACTCCAAGATTGGCTCAGGTAGCGAACCGACAGAGATGTACGCCATGAGTGCAAGATTCTTCACCAAACCGACAGCTTGACCTTCAGGTGTTTCAGCAGGACATACCTTAATTACAGACCATACGGAATGCATTATGCTACCATATTAAAATGCCCGAGAGAAAACGAACCATCCCCCACTGTGTGTTGTGAAGTTGTCGAGGTTTTGCAAGCTTTCCTTCTCTTCCAATGGGTGAATTAGCTCGACGTAAATGTGATAAGGTGGCTGTGTAGGTGAGCCGATTCAATACCTGTTAAACTACGTGAATAGCAAAGGCGAGAAAACTGCCTAATAAGATTCCAATCGCAAGAAAAAAAAACTTAACAGAAATAAAACTACCTGCGACACTCCGGCTCTGGACTGATGCGCCTTCTTCTGATCACCCCAGTTCCCGGTAGCGAGTGAATAGGCGAGTCCACGAGTGATAGTTGAAGTTTTTACGCAGACATCAAGCGAAAAGTCACCGTTTTTGTTAATATACTTCTGCGCTGTGAGCCGCATCTGAAAATGAATTAGTATTACATGTGTCAACGTGAGAAGGTAGGCAAAAAGGTAGCATATATAATACCTCTTTCAAAAGATTTCTGAACAGCGCTCGGAACAAGAACGCTAGCAGAGGACCGGCAAGGTCCAGACGCTTATTCCCAATATGATCACGATCGTCGAGTTCTCGGCGACCCAGCGCGGCCAAGAGCAACCGATGCACCATGTAGCCAATGAAATACTTAACAACAAGGGCATTACGGTAAGGATGGAGAGTTAAAAACAGTGCAGGGAAGCACTCACCGCTTTCTTCGTTTCACAGAAATCTGACACGCCAACATGAGGAAGCAGTTCTTTCTGCAAAATTTCTTTCGCGTACTTGATACGTTGTTCTTTTGTTACTCCAGGCTTTGCTCCACGTGCACCGATGAAGTTAAGCGCGACATTTTGTTCCTGAAAACTCAGCTAAAAACTGCAGAAAAAATCCACTCAATGAGCAAACCAGAACTCTTGTCCATGTGGAACGAAGGTATTTGAAAACGAAATTGTCTACTGAACCAGAAGTTCTCACCTGTATGACAAAAGCTTCATCGAGAGATGGTTTCACCATTTCCATCATTTCTGGATCTTCAAAGTCATAAATGATGTGCTCAAGGATATCACGATCCGAGACAAATCCAAGTGCACGAAATACTATCATTACGGGAATTTCCTGAAGAGAATACAATAAGCACAGTTAACGTCATTCAAATTAGAAGTTTTTAAGAGCAACCTGCTTAATGTAGGGAAGAATCGCTATAATACGCTGACCCATGGCAGTCTTTTTAGCGCCTCCTCCACTGCGAGCCATCATATTTACCCACATAGTTGAAGTTGGAACGACTTGAACAAACAAATCTTTCACGTTGTTCCGAAAATGTTTGCAAGTTGTAGCCGTTTAACACTGAGTTGCCCCTTGAGTTCTCGAGGGCAGGAACCTGCACTCTAGTCTTGAACGTCAATAATTTTCCCGTCCTTCATTGAGAACACGTATACAGTGTTCGTTGCCATCTTCTCTTGGGCAATTAAGACCTAAAGGACGATAATAACGCATAAAATTAGATTATAATGCACAAAATCTGGTGGTAAAGCACCTATCATTGTGGATCTATCGTTAATGTTTATGTAAACCATATGGACATACACTTCAAAACAATCTGTGAATTGATACGCATTGTTCAAGCTGATCTACGCCCATCAAAAGGGACCTTTTCATAAGCTTGCGAGCAAGCAATTTCACCTAAGGCTTTCTCCACCCAGGGCGAGCCACAGGGAGCCAAATTCATTTAAAAATCACCGTTTTCGGTAGCCGTGATCACAAAATAACCTCCAGGATCTAGAGGACATTCGTTCAGCTCGGTAAGATCTCGGTCAGACATGTTGGAAAGCATACAGTAACTTGATCTAAAACGAAAAGAAGTTAAAACAAGTAATACACAGATGTCGAGCATATCGATGAAAGCCAAGGAAATACCTCAACATGATAGGGATTTTTCCGACGAAAACTTTTTCATATTTTCTCTCGGTCACTTCATCATCTCTCTGGATTTGTTTTGTAATATCCACATACAGCGGCGAAGAATAGGTGAGGTTTCGCAGGCGTGCCTTGAATAATAAAGTAATGCCATCTACTTTGGATGTGAATACCTCTATTCACATCTGAAGCTAGTTGACGCGGCATTAAAATCAGGTTTATGATATGACCACAAAATACGGTAAAAATATCAAACGATCATTCGGAAAAAGAACAGATTGCTTGATAAGAAAAGCTAAAAAATGAAAAAGGAAAATAGCTAAAAAATACCCATGAAACACTATACAGAAAAAGCTAGCATATTCTAGAGCAAAATTGAAGGAATAATTTTTATTTTCCATGAAAATGCACAAAATCTATATCGTGGTCCCTTCCCTCATGACTGATATTAAAAAGCGGCCCCGAATGCGTCATGTCGCTGTTTAAGGTCACCCAGATAGAACATCGGTGGTGTGGAAAACGTCAAGCAGTGTAAAATGGCTACCTCGTTGGGCATCATCGGTGTTGGTGCTCCATCTTTCTCCCAATGCGTAGGCTTTGACAAATAGATCTGGTCAAACTTCAAAGAAAACTTTGTCGGATTTTCGATATCTCCTGAAAAAAAGGCATCCAGCATATAAAAACCGGCCGAGATGATAGCCGAATATCAATTTTACCAATTTTCCAACCCACCAGAAAAATGTTGGACCTCTGCCTGCAGTTCCACCGGAGGCGAATCCTCCACAATTCGCTGTACATTCATTTGAATAAATTCATCGAAGGAGTCAAGCTGTTGACGCACAAGACCTTTTTCATCGAAATAAGCACTGATCACGACCCAGCATGCTTCCTTAACAAGAATGCGGTTCATAACAATCAACAACTGTTTCAGACTGCAAAACTCTCACCTGCCACTGTTCACTCGATATTTCTTCATTGTCTTCCTCATCCACGTCCTGATCACCACCCTCTCCACCATAGGGCATATCATCATCGTCGTCTTCATACATTGTTCAGCCCTAGAAGGAGAACAAAAATTTTATATACTCTAATTCGCTGCGGACGAAGGGGCGTGTCAAGCAGTATAAATGTGCCACGACACCAAACTCGTTCTCCGCCTGTGAATGAAGCGTGTATGCGACGTTAATTGGTAGAAAACGGGTGATGCGAACGATATGATAGTCTTGTCAATTGCTCTGTCAATTGCTCTCTCCGATAAGTGGTGGGAAACGCGTTTGGCATCGCGCCAAACTCATTCCGCCTGACACGCCCTTTCGTGCGCAGCGATCCAGACAAAAATAGATTATTCAGCACGAATGAGCAGTTCTGACAAAACAACCAGATATATCAATGAACCAACATCATAAATGTTGAAAACACGCGTGGAACCAATGGTTTATGGAATGCTCGAAGAAAGACAAATTATAATGCTCTCAATTGTAACAGACTATACATTCTATGGCAAGCTCACACGTTAACTATGCATCAGACTAGATAATAAATAGAGAATATTAAAATAAAGAAAGAATCTTAGGCTCACAACCAGTACTTCATTTAAAACGATTAAAATTCGCTGCCTTGTGGTTTGCATGGAAATTAGATTACAAGGAAGGGTACGAGATAATGAGAAGCTATAACGGAATAACGAAAATTGAACGAATCTTTATGCAAGGTAAATTCATCAGAATGGACTAGAAATGGAGCATTATGCAGTGGGAAGCTACACGACTATCGCAGACTATCTCAATAAAAATAACGAATATTACGAGAAATAACGAATATTACGCGAATAACGGGAAGATGCAAAGGTTTAGGCTCATATGTTGAACAAATCAACTCACTCAAATAACTAAATGGAATGGAACAACCCCGGGCACAAGCTTCTGACCAAAATGATTTGTACGCGTCGGATTCTGGCTTAAAATTTGTACGGTCGGATGGGTGGTGTGAGCCGCACTGCATTTGATTTGCCATATCATATAAATGACCTATTGGCTCTGCTGGGTCGGTAACTTGAAGGATTTTTCGAAATTAGGAGTGAAAGCTCTTATTAGAGACAAAGCAAGTATTTCTGCACCAACGTGTAGCAAACTCGCACGCTCCTGGCCTCACATGTCAACAGCGCATTTACAGCAAACTTTGGACCGCCTAAACATCGTTTAGGAGATTCCTGTGGCACTCTTAATCTGCATATTCGTAATCAGCATTCGAGGCTCTATCGATGTACCTAGGTCTCCATTCAAAGTTCCATGGGAAGTTCAAACCATTCCCTTGTAAGTGTAATGCCGATGGAACTGGCGTTGATATTGAGGAAGATTATAAGGGGACTTAGTCTACAAAAGCTCCAGCGATCACGTTACGCGAAACTCATCAGGAGGTCCTTGACTTCGCCGCTGGGGAGGAGGGGCGTGTTTGGCCTCAGGAGAGATTTTTCGATTGTTAACTTTCTTTGCGCGCTATATATTGACAGTAGATTTTTATGCCGGTTCAATGGTGAAACTCTGGGAAAATTCAGAAGATGATAGTAGGCACCGAGAGGGGTCGTACTAGAGCAGAAAAGTTGTGGCGTCACACTGACATCATCATTCCATCCATCCCTATTCTACACTACGATTATACTGAGTTTCACAGCAAGCAAGAACAATAGCAAACGCGCGATTCCATCAGCGGAAAAATGCTTCCCGACTTTACTTGGGGCTGCGCAAAAATAGAGCACCTACGAATTGGCAAACCGCGCACTCAAAGAAAGAACAGAGACTCTTGCAGAGCAGCACAACGCCTCATTTGGAGAAGTGCCGAGTTTACACACTCACCTGCTGATTCTTGTCACAAATAGACAGGAGTTCGTAACGTTCACTGCTAGTTTATATTCTCCTTCCCTGTGCAGAGTTTATGAATGAAAGCAGCATCATTCTAGCAGTAGTGAACAACAGTGGAATGGATGGGTTATATTCGGTTGATGTAGTAAAGCATGTATAAAAGCAGGAATTTGGGATACACCAGTTTATAAAGAAGCAGTTAAAGGATGGAGGAACAGCATCGGCCATTATTCCATTCTTGCTGGGATACATGTAGACTTTTGGGCGCGCATTTTATTTCCACTTGAAATCGTAGTGGCTCGTGAGCGATGTGGCCAATACACTACTTGCAGGAAAGAACGAGCTAGTGTTCCTATCTTCCTAGACGAACCTTGTACCAAATTCCCGTCCCCGGAAGGATGGATGATTGGGTTGAGGCCGGCAGGAGCGGATAGGAAGCTACTAGACCACGTGCGTAGTTAACAGGCCATTTGTACTGGACCACCTCCACTCGGGATGCACTAGTAAGATATCCGAACCTATAGAATTAGCAACATAAATAAGTGTGGAGTAGATCAACCTGCAGAAAGTGGAATACTGTACAAGTGAGAAGAAAAAAGGAATATAGCACCAAAAAATCAACCAGCAATAGGAGGTCCTAGATACATACAGCACAAATTGCAGGGAAAAGTTTGACGGGCGGCAAATCCATGAAAGCGAGCCCCAGAAACTCGGCTCCTGCACGTTCAAAATATACAAAATGACGGTCGCAGTCCAGTACTAGTCGAACTCTTTCCCCCACCTTAATTAGCAAATATTGAGTTAGAAAAAATCGAGAAATGACAAGAAAACAAGCTGTACTCAATGCAACCACGAATATCCGCTCTATCCCCGCTCTAGAATGAGTTTCGAGTGAAAACAATATTGTACCTGATATTTGGGCGGGTTATTTGATCTTGGATAGACTCCCAGCTGTTCACCATTGTGGATTAGAGTATTGTCGACGAGATTCCATCCCCAACTCTGATCATCACTCCCAAGCAATGGTAAATATCCAGGACAGTGAAGAGCAGCATGCCTATAAAAAAGAAACATGGAAGTGGTCATCTAGTGTGGCTTAACAAACAAAGACAACAATCAATAAAAGTCTAACTTACCTTGTAGCAACTCCTACCACAGCGACAGTTCCCAGTGGACCTTCCCACGTTATATCGAACGCATGAACTCCTTGTGACACTCCTATCTAAAAATGTGCGGGCAATGGGAGAAATTTCAGTAGAAATAATGCCCACAGGAACTTGCCTTTCCACGAACTCCGTCAGTGCTTTGAGCGACAGGCTGACGATGGACAGTGAAACCATTTGCTCGGACGTAATTGTTTCTTAAAATACATAATGCTACAAGCAGAACTCGGCGATTCTCAAGATTCCAAGGAAAATAAAAGTGGACTACAACCACGGTAAAGTTCGCCAAAGAGGGAGCATTTCGCGCCCTCACTAGTTCCTTTTGCTAATT